GAAGCAAGTAAGAGGAAGGGAGTTCCACTGTCGGGAAGTGTGTGATAAGAAGCTGTTGGAGAAGAAGAGACGGCTACATTTAACCGTTCCGACGGCTACATTTAACCGTTCCGACAGTGAAAGGGTGGGACTGAAATGCCAATTTAGTAGCACGTTTAAAGTCATGCAGTTTGGGTACCAGTGAAAGTAGCTCGTCAGAGTAGTTGCAATCAAAATATTTGTAGAAAAGACAGAGGGAAGCTACAGAACGTCTGTGTGAAAGTGACTGTAGACGAGATGTCAAAATGAAACATGTTTGAAAATTTAAATATCTTGTAAGAGTTTTAACGGAGAGCAGAAAATTCGAGCGAAAAATCTGAAGGCGCATTGTAATGGCAAAAAATCCTTCCAAATACGAAGCACATTACTAAGAAACAGAAAGAAAGAATTCGTTAGAAAAAGAAAGAAAGAAATGATTGCTGAACTACTATGTAATATCAGTCCTTCTATACGAGAGTGAATGCGATATGTGAGTAACGAGTAAGTTTTGAGAGAAATGGAAACAAAAAAGGACGCTTACAAATAGAATAAGAAAAACTGCTGAAATCTCTAGGACATTTACTGAAAAAATACTTAGGAAAGTGGGCGCTGAGAATTTGAGACTCACAGGACGTATTTAAGACAAGGGAGACAACGAAAAGCAACTAGTAACCTATCTAACAAGTTTGTGTAAATGGACGACAGAAAAGAGAGCGGGGATTGATAAACGATTCTGATTGGTTGACTGAATAATTGATTTTTATTTAATGGTTATCAACCTTTTGCAGTTTATTGAAAGATATTAAAGATATTTTTGTGAGTGAATATGGCATTAAAATTTTTTCGTGATAATGAATTTTTTCAGAAACAGATCTTACTATTTAACCTAGAGCTAAGGGGAAGAGATTAATCTATACCCAATATTATATGAACGCAACGAACTCGACTGGAATTTGAACTCAGCTCTCCGATTTCTCATTCTATGCCTCTATCTATTACACCACGCGCTCAACCTACCAAAACTTACTGAGAGTTACAAAGGAAGTTGGGGAGAGTACTTATCGCCCATGCCCTGAGAGGACACAGCACATAGAAAAAGAAGAAGAAAGTTTGACATAAAATGAAACCTTTTTTGCATATTTTTGAAACTTTGAGATTAATTTATTTTAAAATTTTCATGTTAATTCGATTTTTTTCCGAATAAAATATTTATTTTTTGTTTATTCTATCTTATTGTATAAAAAAAACTGGAAAGAAAACTTAAAACAACAAAAAAGAAAATTTAATGACTAAATGATATATCTATATAAAAGTCAGTGTGTCACACTTTTACAACTTTATTCCATGAGGCTGTAACCAAACATATAATACCATTTTGGAATCAGGTCGACTCCGTGAACAAATTAAAAACAATCCGGGCCGGATTCAGACAATTAATCCTGAATCTTTGGATTTCCAAGTTTTCATTACAGCGACTGTTTTCGGTGAATTTTTACGTGATTTTTTTGGCGACGAGTTTTTTTTGTTTTTTTTTGTACGATAACAATTTTTAGAAGTTGGATATAAATTTGGGAATAATCGAAATTAATTGCGGAATCCAGCCAAAGTCACCCATGAAATAAAAATAATTGTTTTTACGGAAGGTAAGGACCTACGTACATCAAATTATCTTTAAATTAAGTGGCGACAGTAGAATTATCGTTGAACTTTTAAAAGTAAACTTAAATATTAATTCAACAATTAAATACAGCGATCAATTTTGAGTTCTTCTGTAATATATTGTTGCCTATCGCCTACGTCAGCAGTATGCCTCGCAAAAAAGAAATCTTCACCAACAGAGGACCAGATTGCAATCAAAAGAGTAAACGTCGCAGCGAGGAAAAGAAAGCCCAAGCTCAAAACTCAGCCAGGAGAGCTTCCAATGATGAGAATATGGAAAGACTTAGGGACACTCAAACTCCCTAACAAGCCAAAGGCCCAATCAAGATCCCTCTGCAGGACCGGCTTAAAAACCGCCCGATAGGCCGTCTTTTAATCTAGTCTATAATATTTAAAATGGGTTGTTTGAAAATTGTTGTGAGAAAGCCCCTTCCACCCGTTAGGTCGATAGTAACTGACGTTTATCTTCTTGTTACCCAGTGTATATTCAGATTGAGCTTTGACTGGAAATGTTTAATTCATAACCGCAGATTCATGCAAAACGTTGATTATCACTTATGAAAAAGCTGTTGTTTTAAAAACTTCTCACTAAGGTGAACTCCATTATTCAAATTCTTGTTTTCCGTGCGAAAACTTACAGAAATATCACCTGAATTCATAATCAACCATTCGATGACAATAGATAATAATATATTCCGTTGTGTGTTGTCAGATTATTATGTAAGCCTAACAAAGAATTGTTATTCCTTTAGGCAATATTGTCGTGTTGTCGGTGGATTAAACGTCTTGTTGACGCGCTGAGTTGCCAATGCGTGTCAAATGTTTGTAGATAAATCGCAGAGTCACGTTCTGGGGGAAACACTGGGATATATCTTCAGCAAGAGTTTTGTTTGCTGAAGAGAGTCATAATGTGACTACTAGGTTTACACTCGTGGGGAAAAAAGAACATTTGGGCCGCTTTGATAAATTGACTACTTTTGTTAATATCACCCCCACATCGAGAGCGCCCTGGGTATGACGATAAAATAGATCCACGCCCAGGGTAAGACGATAAACTACGTCCAACAGCAAGGCCTCTGATCAGGAGGCTTTGAGGAGCGTGGAACCTCCTCTTCATTGGTGGTGTTCCCAGATCCGCCCTGACACGGGGTGATAGCACCTGTTACGGTCCCAGCGATGGGCAAATAATTAACCCCGAAACTGAGACTACATCCGCGTCCTGGGTAAGAAAATATACTACATCCGCGTCCAGGGTAAGACGATAAACTACGTCCGACAACAAAGCCTCTGATCAGGAGGTTCTGAGGAGCGTGGAACCACCTCTTAATTGCTGGTGTTTCCAGGTCCACCCTGACACGGGGTGGTAGCACCTGTTAGGGTTCCAGCTATGGGCAAATAGTTAACCTAGAAACTGAGGTAAAAGGCATTATAAAAGTGTAAAAATAGGTTTTAATACCGGAAATACTTTGTAAACAATTATTACCAGAAATACATTTTTGAAGAAAAAAAACTATTACCAGCAATACGTTTTTGAAAAAAATAATATTACCAGCTATACGTTTTTGAAAAACTAATATTACCAGCTATACATTTTTGATGAAAAAAATATTAACAGTAATAAATTTTTGGCAAAACAAAAATATTACCAAAAAAAAAAAAAGTTTTCAGCATTAAATGACCCATTGAGGTTGATATGCCGTAAAACAAACCGACCCCCCCTCGAGAGTGAATAGCAGTATGCTTTCTCTATACGTGTTATGACCTTTGAGGACCCGAAAACAAGTTATTGCATTTTTGTTAATGTTGTATGATTCATCTTAGAGCATCTTCAGCATAAAGATACTGAGAAATGGCAATGCAAAAATACTGAGCTTTTCTAAAGTTAAAATGAAGTTTACTTTAAAAAAAAAGATCTTGTATTATTGCATAATTACATTACATTAGTACAAAACATCAAAATATAGAGTTAATAGTGAGTTGCGTTGTTGATTTTGGTTCGAATAACTGCCTCAATTCCATGTGTCGTTGAATGGTGCTAAGGCCAGTTTTTCTCGTAAACTTTTCCTCATTTTTCTTGGCAGCAATTCCACAGCTCTTGGAGATTGTGTGGCTTTCTTTGGAGCATTTATTTCTTCAGTTCTCACCACAAAGGAACAATTATATAGAGATCAAGTCTTTATGCCGGCCAGTCTTCTAATAAGCAAACATTTTCATCCATAAGGAAAAACTCTTTGTTGCATGCCACGTGTAGTAAGTAACGCAGTCGCGATGAAAAGAAAATTCTCAATTGAAGTTTGACAGAAGATCAGGCTGTAGTATATTATACTTTTCATTATTCAGGTTTCCATCAACTTTACTAATTTTCTTCTATCATCGCTTTTGACTCAACCTTACACCATTTCGCGTCCACCAAGAAATTTCACCTTCATTGTGGTTTATCTTGAATTGTCTTTTTTCTCTTTTCCTGGTCTTATTAGAAATTCTATTTCACTAAAGTGCATCTCTATTTTGCATTAATCACTGCAAATTACTTTTTGCTACTTCCCATCATCCCAAATTAGATGTCTTTTTGATCAATTCACTCTTCTATTCCGACATTTTGGGGCTAATGCTATAGGCCCGTTCAAGTTGTTTTATCGTAACACTCTGCATTTTGTATCAAGTGAAACTCCACTGTTAAGACGACATTCATCCCTTATTTGTTAATTTTGAATTACCTGTCAAGATTCTCACTACCTTTTTGGCACTCCGATTTTATTTAGAAATGGTAAGATTATTTGAACACTTTTTTTTTGAAAATTGCCAGCTACCTGTTTATATCTCACTGAGCCATCTTCGTCTTGTAATTCAGAAGATTGATCTTTGCTTCAGCAGAAATTTTAACTATGATTTTATTGTAAAAAAAAGGAAGCTAATTTTCAACTACCATTGACTTGCCAACAATACCTTACATTCATGTTAATAAGATGGAACTTTTATATTTTGTATCTTTCTCTGCGTAGTAGTAGTCGTAGTACAGTTCACCGTGTCCTGAATAGCAACCGGTTTTGCTAAGCATAGCCACCCTATGTTCGTCAACTGTTCTCTATTTATACTTGTCTATATAATTTGCATACGATGCTACAGGAACATCTTAATAAGATAAAATTGCATAATCGTTTTATGTAGTTGAACCGAAATTTTTGCAGGACAGAATAAAAAGAAAATATTCGAACAACAAGTGTGTGTTATCGCCCGCTACAGCAGCGAAACAACAACAAGGATGTATAGAAAAAATATTCTTGTTTATTCTCAGTGTCAACTACGTAACCTCTAATTTAAAAATGCGAAACACATTTGGAACTAAAGGCGCCATATTTGAGGAGGAAAAAATTTGTCAGTCTTTTCTTCTATACATGCACATGTGAAATCATAGGCACAAATTACAAGTGTACATCTCTCAATATCTCTTTTCTCGTCCTTTATCTTTCTTACTCTCTTCATATCATATCTATCTATCTATCTATCTATCTATCTATCTGGGATGGTATGCATGAAGTTCTTCTATCTGCTTGCCATTCAATGTTTATTATCTACACAACCACGCAACCACTATGCAACCACGAGAAAACATTCTTCTTCTTCTTCTTCTTCTTCTTCTTCTTGCCTTCAATATGTCCTGTGAGTATCAAATTTTTCAAGCCCTCTTTCCTCATTATGTGCCCTACAAAATGAATCTGTCGTTTCCTGAAGTTAAATATAAGTGTATTTTCTGTTTCAATTTTCTTTAAATCTCAACACTGTTTTTTTTTTTCGGGAGAAAGAAAATGAAGATCTTTGTAATATACGCACGATAATGTTATGTGCAATAAAGCTGTAAATATCAATGGCGACCAGACCCCGATGAACGGATGTTCCTTCAAGAATATTGGACCTCACATTAATACCCTACCTCAAGTGGTTTGGTTTGGTTTGGTTTAATGCCGACAACATTTTTCGGATAGATTCGTATGAATAGAGTATATATATTCTTTGGTTTAGATTGGGTTTGATTTATTTTATTTAACGGCATATCAACCTCAATAGGTTATTTAATGCCGACAAAATTTTTTATTGGTGGTACTATTTTGTTTTGTCAAAAATCTATTTTTGTTAATACTTTTCTTTCAATATTGTATTGCTGGTAATCTATTTTTTTCAAAGAAGTATTGCTGGTAATAGTTAACTATTTCCCATAGCTGGGACCCTAACAGGTGCTACCACCTCGGGTCAGGGTGGATCTGGGAACACCAGCAATTAAGAAGTGGTTCCACGCTCCTTAAAACCTCCTGATCAGAGGCCTTGCTGATGGACGTAGTTTAACGTCTTACTCAGGACGCGGATGTGGTTTATCGTCTTACCCCGGACGCGACCTCAAGTGGAACTCTTAAAAACGACCCCCCGCTAAATACTTAGGTATAATGATAGGCTTCCTTTACCGAATCCTAACAGATCTCTCATATCTACCTTTATAATGGGCAGATCAGGCCGAAAATGGAGAACTGTTGCCATATCTTGGCGGCGGGAGTTGGCCAGACTTTACGTTCTGTTCTTGATAGATTTCAAAAGCGTCTCCGAGTATTTTGGGCAGAAGAGTTATTTTCCATTCCCCAACCTCTCCCTCATAGACGGGCTGTGACTAGTCTTTCTCTGTTTTATCTCCACTTTCATGGAAAGTGCTCAGACGAACTACATTCCTTGGTTGTCCCAAATCTAACCTTTACGGCTAGGACCGACCATACCATCTACATAGTAGCAAACCACACACGTAAACCCCGTATTCCATTGGTGAGTAATGAGTTCCAATCAAAAAACTTCTTCTCCCGAGCAAACTCTCAAGATGTTTCCCCAATCATTACATTCTCTTAACCTCTCTGCATAAGAATTACCCCTAAACGTAACCTTTTACCACGAGTGGCCTCCGGTCCCTTGTACTGGGCGAAACTTACTGCAAAAATATTAACTCTTTCATACGTCGCATTTTCCCTTCCAAATACCTGCTTAAGAAAATAAAAGACGAACAAAATGATATGATAGTTCTTATTTGTGGCAACATATTCGAAAGAGAGAGAGGGGGAGGAGAGAGGGTGAAAAGGGAGTAATTGCTACAAATTTTATTTTGAAATGTGGTTATGACCTTTGTACAAAATGAAGATGAAATTTTATCCGAAGGAAATTAAATCAAGAAAAACAAAATGATTGCTAAAATATATACATCTAAATATTTAAATTTCTCTTTTAAATATACTAGCTTATTTTGCTTACTGGTGAATAGTAAATTTAAAGTTTCAGGGATTCATTTTGAGCCTTGAATATTGCGATTTAGTGGAGGTCTCTAATAAATAACCATTTTTTCATTAGTTTTATTTTTAATACAGTAAAATAAAGTCTGACATACACCATAGGAAAGGTGTGAATCCATATCTTTTACATTCCTCCAGTCTGGGTTAAATGGCCAAACAAACTGGGCTTTCTAGCCTTATTTAGAAATCAGTCAAGGGGGACAACTCTTAACTGAGCACCAGGTAATGACCAACCTGCTACAGAAACCACAGCAAACAGAAATATCTAGCATCGCGAAGCTGTGTCCATAGAATGGTAAGTCTGAGGCTATATTCACAGGGGAATGATACTAAGGAGGAAGAGGGGTGGATATATTTACTGATCTGGTCTTCTTTTGGGAAGAAATAAACGCGGGAAGAAAGATTACGTTGTATTTGATTCCCCAGGGCGGATATAGACTGCCTTCCTTGAAAATCATTATTCATCATCTCGATAGAAACTATATAAGAAGACACTTACTGGGGAATCTAACAAAAGATTAGAAGAAAATAGAAAATCTGTCATGTTTTTACAACAACATCCATCGAACGCACAATTTAGAATAAATAATCTTCTCTTTCCAACATAATTGGAGATCTCTTCGACAGTTTTTCGCCGAAGAAACAAAATCACACATTTCTAATTTACCACTTTCTCATGGCGGAAATTATTTGACGTTTCCAAAATAGCTTTATCTGAACTCACCCCTTATCTTTCGTTGCTTGAGTTTGAATGTTTGGCTCATGTCTAGAATTTAGTCGGGGAAAGGAGCACCGTCTATGAAACTCTTCCAAGGGCGTGAGGTTAACGCAATGCGGATGATTTCGACAAACAGTGCTCTGCCAAGCGCCAAGGGATTTACGAATGAGTTGCTGTGTATTCTTGGCATGACTGAAAGTAGATTGTCCGTGTATAGGTAATTTCCCGACTGAACCATGCAATTTCCTGCTAAATAAACTCTTTTTCCATGCCATGTGATTGTCTTTAGTGATGCTGAAAACTATTATCAACATTTTTATGTAAATATATAAGAAAACACAGCAGATTTAGACGTTTTCCCTTTCAAATAAAATCAATGTCCGTCTGTTTCGTGTGAGAAGAAAGAAGCAATTTACTTCTTTCATTTCACTATCCGCCTCTCTCTCTCTCTCTCTCTCTCTCTCTCTCTCTTTTCGCTTACTTCCTATTTTATCTTCAGTCGGGTTCGATAACTTTACTTATGCGAAAATACCCTTGAAAAGAGTATGAATCTATCGGCTCCTCACAGCTATGGGTTAAATAGTAGGATTTGTACCTGAAAAAAAATCATTGTTATTGTAAAAAATTTGTTAATGCAATATTCACTCGTAAAAAAGAATTATTCTTACAATCCAAAATATGATTCGGCTTTTGTTAATCCACAAAGGGTTGATAAGCCGTAAAAATAAAACAAACCAATCAATCAATCCTCTTTTATAAGTCCATTTCAGTATATCTATCTATCTTAGCCTGTTAATATCTATCTATCTATCTATCTATCTATCTATCTATCTTAGTCTGTTAATATATCACTGTCTCTCCATTATACACTATCTTAGCCTGTTAATACCTATCTATCTATCTATCTATCTATCTATCTATCTATCTATCTATCTATCTTTAGTCTGTTAATATCTATCTATCTATCTATCTATCTATCTATCTATCTATCTATCTATCTTTGTTAATATATCAGTCTCTCCATTATACACTACACCAACCGCACATCCAAGCGTACAGCACTTGGTATTCGCAAACGGTCACCCATTTAGGTACTGACGAGGCACGACCTTGCTTACCTTTGGTGAGTGTACAGAAATCGGTGTTTCAAGGTGATGTTGCCATAAGCCTCTATTAAGGACGGGTTTCAGCGCTCCCAAAACCATCGATCCCAACTTACCAATCATGTGCTTTCGCGTGGCCCGCGTTCCTATTAAGTCTTTCATTTTAACTGTCCGACAAAATAGCTGAGATGTTTGATATCATCCTTCAGCTAACATTTATATTCGTGGTGATGTCACTATTCAGCTAGAACGAGTTGTTAACTCACTCAAAGTAAACCGATAAAAAAAGCCAGACACTGTCATCTCTTCTCGACGATTACAAAGTACCAAGATCATGGATAAGCCTCATTCGTATTCCTGTCAAAACGGGGCCCTACGTAGACCCCTTTCTTATACCCTGTCCTGATGAATGCTCTGCTGAAGTGTTAGCTCGCTCGACCATTTTAGATCAACCCCTGATCAGCTAAAGACACACATATACAGACATCTCGGTGCGCCAAAGTTGACTTTGATTGCGGAAGAACCTATCTTAGAATTCTTCAAATAGAGTCACCATAACTGCCTCTCTCAATTCTAAATGGATTCATTGTTGCATGGGAAGATTTATTTCGCAGAAAATATATCAACAAAAAACGAATAGTTAGCCTTGGGCACACGCCAGAAAACGCTGCTGCCATAGCTCACCGAAAATATTACCCCTTTTGTTTATAAGGTGGGGCGTTGTAGTAGAACACGTGACACATTAAAAATTAAAAAGGCGAAGAACAGTTATTCACTATCAATTCATTATCAATGTTGAAAAAATATTTGTTTCCCGTGGTTACTAGAAAATCTCAAACAAAATTCTCAATTGAGGTAAATTGTTAGTTTATGATCAACAAGAAGGTTGTTGGTCACATCAAGAGAAACAACATCCCGAGTGACAAACAGTCAGTCCCTTTGTTATGTCCCAACTGTCATTATCCAAAGGATCAGTAAATTCATGACGAGTGCAATCAGCTAAGATGTATCAAACGCTTTTGAAAAGACATGACAGTGAGATTGGTATACAAAACCTCTAACTATTGCATGTCTGGAAGGCTTTTCAAAATTATCAAGTCCCTTATAACAGGCAGATCCATGAAAGCCATTCTTAATGGCCAGTCTTCTGAAACCCATGTGATTGATTCAGGCGTTGCACAGGGTTCTCATCTCGGTCCTATCCTCTTTCTGCTTTATATTAACGAACTGCCCAAGAACATTCTCAGGTCATTAGCAAATAACGAAGATCACAGTTTAGGGGCGTATCACCAACAATCTAGATGAACAGTGACTGGAATCTGATCTCTCTTTTATTCTATCTCCAACAGCTCTTGGGACTGTATTGTAACCTGCAAAATAAAAATACAGTTTGAGAAATCTTAATAAAAAATTCGTGGAACAGGAAGTACAGGAAATGTTTCAAATTATTTAAGATTTTTGAATACATGCCTCTTTAATTTGTATATAGCATCTATAAAATGATGCAGCTTGGGACGGAACTCTAGCATATGCCCAATATCTCTTTATATTTCATAACACAGCTTATACATATAGCCTGAAAGTAGTTGAAACAAATAGCATATCTCCTGAAAGGAGTTTCATATAAATAAACACACAGGTACGGGCTATGACGTGAAAATAATATGTGCTTTTTGTGCGTATACTAAAATACATGAACAGTACTTAATATATATATATATATATATATATATATATATATATATATATATATATATATATATATTCCAGTCGAATCCATTACATTAACTTACGTGCTAATACCCTTGGGAAAGGTATGAATCTTCTTCCTCTCCCTCCAGCTATGGGTAAAATAGCAGGACAGACTGGGTTCTATAGCATTAGATGGCAACTGGTCTAGGAGAAGGACTCTGAATTCAAAACATGTGGAGGGTCGTTTGGGAACCTTGTGGCACTCGATGCACCAGGTCTGTGTGGATGGTCCTGCACGAAGCCTTCACCACTATAATCAAATCATGTGCCGGTGTCGGGCTGTCGGTTTCCTGGAAACTGATCTGCTTGACCCTCATACGTCGAATCTCGACGGGAGAGTCGATTATATATATATATGGAGGACTTTTGATATTTTAAATAATATTTTTACTTAGTACGAAATACCTAGTAAGTAATCCACTATCGAAAATGTTGCAGTGATGATCACTAACAAAAACACTGGCACGAATGGAGACTACGTAGTTGGGGGTGGAGAACCCCTGAGTAGTGCAGATGAGGTCACTTACAACAGCTGCACATCACCTAGGAACCTTCCTAGTGCTTTCTGAAATTTCTCAATTGTGACAAGTCATATCAGCACCTGAAAAACGGTCGGAGTTTGGAGTTTTTCGGATGTTGGAACTTTGGATAAACGATTACCCCCAGTAATTTTTCATTATCCCCTAATAGACTCTGAAATGTCAGTCATAATGAACAATAGTATTTTCAATGATACTTCTTACTTTGAGTGTCTAGTTCATGCAAAACCTCGAACTCGTACATTCGTACTAAAGCTTGTGGGCACCTCGACGTGGTGTAATGGTTAACAAGCTTGTCTCGCTAGAACACTTACGACTGAGTAGTGAGTTCAATCCACACTGAGTGCCCCATACTTTCGGCCTTGTGCCACATCTGAGCTACGTTTGGAAAATCACTATACCACTCCAGAAAGCAGCTGACTCTTACTGCCATGCTCCCTGTTTACAAGAGTCGGATCAGACCAAGAATGGAGTATTGCTGCCATATCTCGGTTGGTGCTTCTTTGCTGTTACTATCCAGGCTTGGCAGATTTCAAAAGTAAATTACACGCTCTTGTGGCTGATGAATTTCCTCCGGGCAACACCTTTCCCACAAAATCAACATTCCAAGACTGTCACTAATCTATCACTATTTCCATGGCAGATGTTTAGACGAGCTAAACTTTCTTATTTCACCAGTTCAGACCTTCACATCTCGGAACCGCCAAGCCATGTACACATGATTCACACATCGTTATTCCGTTCATATTCCATTTTAAAGAAAGAACTTCCACTCATCTTCTTCTTTAGACTGTGGAACACCCACTTGAGTGGATATTTCCCAGACCACTTCAGACTCTTTAAGTCTAACGTTAACCGTTTTCTATCCTACATATCCTCATAATATGAACTTCTCTCTTTCAGCCCTGAAAACAACCTCATTCAGTAAATCTCTAACTTAAGTAGTTCTTAGGTCTTATATTTGTTGAACAATAATATAGCAAAAACATCAAAAACTTTTACTTAAATTGTATCGAACAGCTGCCTGATGTGAGACAACAAGTTATTGCAATGGGAAGATATGATTGAATAAAATGTAATTCCACTATATTTTGAAGAATAAACGAAAACAGAGGAGGTGCGTTGGGCTGTGGTAGATAACGACTCGAAATGAAAACTCAAAGAAACGAGTTCGAATTCCAGTCGTGTTCGTTATATTTACTTACACACAAATAACTTTGGAAAAAATATGATTCAATCAATTCTACTCCCAGACAACAACTATGGGCTGAATAGCATTGCAGACTGGATCATATAGTCTTCGTTGGCAACCAGTCTGCAGGTTACACCATATGGCTTTTCCAAGCGCCCATTATGTGACTCTGTTTAAATCTATAAAAAACAAATATTTCCTTCATCTTCTTTTTTCTTCCTTTTACTCCAAGATGTAGCAGAAATAGACGTTGACCTTCCCACTGTGGCACGTTCGTTTTCACGGTCGACTGACGACAGAACTCTTACAGACGAACACACGCGCGGGTGTATCACACGCACAAACACACACATTTTTACTGGCTATTTTAATTTTTCTATTGTTTACACATTGATGTAATTACTTTTTGTTAATACATGCGTTGTTTGTTTAAAATTTATGTTTTGTTACTTATATTTATTCTGACTCACATGAGTCCACCAAATATTGCTTGCGGGACAGATGTCCCAGAAGTTATTAAATATTTACTGAAAAGCGTCCACATCACAAAAGTCGTGAGTCTCGCAACCAGTCTACCACAGAAAGAAATGGCAGGCTCCTGCAACAAATCCTCCACCCACTCAGTCACGCATCGAAAGAGACCTGATCGCCAAAGCGTATATCACGTTTGACATTTAACTGATTGAAACAGAAACATGAATTATCTATCTATATTGTAATACTAAAAGTCTGTTACTGCTTCCGTGTTTGTGTGGTGCGTCGTCCGGCGCATAATAATTTAAGAGTTGTTTATACAGTAAATATTTTTTTTTATTTTAACTTTCATTTTCTTTAATTAAAATATTTTTAAGTAAAAGACAGACGCAAAGAGATGCCGCTGTGCTGTTTCGTCCAGTTGTTTGTAGAGTAATTATTCATATTTCAGCTTTCCTTAAACAAACAATATTTTAAATATTTAAAAATATTTCTTGGCATATTTAAAAATATTTTTAAGTGAATATGATTTTAAAATATTTCTTGGCATATTAAAAATATTTTTAAGTTAAACCTGATTAAAAAATATTTTAAGTCAATAAAATTTAAAAATACGTGTTGCTAATACAGAAAGTAATTTTATTTCTACTTTTTTCAAACAGACAATTTTTTCAATGTTGAAATCAACTTCAATGTTTTATAACATGAACTGTCAGTGACCCAACGGGTAACGGGTGGTCTATTTTAAGAATAAAACTAAGATTTCACTGACGAAGACCGTTTTCTTGCTATCCTATAGTTATTTATTAAGTGTAGTGCAGATATGGTATAAGGCCGGATGTATTGGGAAACCATTGAGCATCGAACACCTTATTCATTCGTAACTGATCTAGAGTGACAAGCTGATAAACCATTCCACCTTGTCAAAGATGTCTTTTCTTGATATT